TTCTAGTGGGGACTCTACAGCGGATTCACTTTCACCTTGCGTCGACGGTTCCGCATCGTAATGTTGATCGATCGTTCCAGCCATCGTTTCACCGCCGCATGCTCCTTGGAAATGGTGCTGGTTGCGCCCCGTCTTTCTGATCCCGCTTGCATCCGTCAGTTTCGCTGCTTTTCGCTGCTCATGCTCTAGCGGCGCAGCGCTAGGCAGTGGATTCGTCGTCATTTTTGGTAAGAAGCATGGCTTCGAGAGAGTCGACGTGCTCATCACGAGAGCGCACCATTGAAACCTTGTACACCAATGTAGGCTGGCGTTGTTTACTTGTTCCTGCTCCACTGCCGCTCGTATCCGCCCTTTCGTCAATCGCTTGTACAACTTTTTCCCTTTACTCCACATGCTTCTCTTGACTTTCACTTATGGTTTATGAAGGCAATTGGGCCGATTGGAATCCTCATTACTGCTTTCATCTGAAAATGTTGCTAAAATGTGCACTGTTTCATGAGTATTGTATAATGTTATCACTACTTTAGTAGCTTGTAATAGTCACACTGCAAGTACCTCCAAATGGCGGCAAATTTTTGGACCGCTTCCTTGAAGAATGTCGTATGCCGCTTGTTGAAGCTCCATCATCACGCACCTCTTAATCAAATATGCTTATGCGACATTGAACTGTTCTGTACCTGTTTAAAAAAAGGACACTCTTCAATTGATACTAACTGCCAATCTTCTTTGAGGGAACATATGCGGTGGGATCGGATGCAGCAGCATCGTCTTTATCTTCAGCATCGTCTTCATCTTCCAAAGAGGGCTCGTCCGTGTCCGACAACTGCATGGCCATTTTCGACAAACTGCAAAACTGAGACAGCGCACACTTGAGAAGAGAGTTTTTCAAATTCTAGAAAGAGTTGACTGGCCATACCCCGTGAACTTCACACGCCGTTCGGCCGCCGCTATATCAGCTCCCAAATAATCCTGTTTGTCTCTCGGCCAACAATCTTGCAATACGGTATCCCTTCACAACGGATTTTGAGAAACTGTCCACGTAATGTCGCATTTGGACTTCTTCGGAGTGGCCTTGAAAGAGAGACATGTGTTTTCTATCAATTTATAAACATGCATTTGACTTACGAACCTAGCATCGCGGCAATGTTCGGATCGACTGGCTTTAGTCTCCCCACGTTGTCTTGATCCAGGAATTCGTCGAAGTTGCGCCCAGAAATTGCGTGTCTTACCTATGCTTCGATGGAATGGTATTTTCAATTGAGCACAATCACCTACTTGCAATTGCTCACTTACCGCATTGCATGTGATAAGCATTTCTTCGCTATTTATTGTCTTGAAAAACCGCTTAAAGAGATATGGAATAGACGACGCGACGCTGGCGTGCCGCTCCACAACAGGAAGAATGGACTTGCCCGCTCATTCATTTGAGGGAGCAAGATCATGCTGCTGGACAACACTGAAAACAATCGACGTTATTCCAATCTACATGTGCTAATTTCCTACTCGGACATACTAGCTACGGAGTTTCTTGTAGTGTTGCAACCATGCATACGATTTCCTGTCCAGAACAAAGAGGCCACTTTTGCATGTCGTCTCTCGACGCCCCGATCCTTGCTGTTTCGGTTGCGGGAAACGCACAATCTGAAGTCGTACGCGGTAGCTGCTGGTCAAAAATGATTTGTTTGAAACCTCAAAGATCCACTGCCATACAAGCCTACGTAAACCTGATAGAACAGCTCTAGCTTCACCCAAAAGGCCTCGTCCGATTCCACATGCTTATGGAGACCCACAGGTTGTTTCT